CAAAAGTGAATATTGTTAATTTCGCCGTGATGCCTGTGACATGTAAATTTCTCTATTGAAATACTACTGAAAGGTCAAATTTCAAACTTGCATGTATATGAGTGGCGTATAAATACACTGAAGAAAAAAAGATGTTTTGTTTAATTGTTTACTAAGTAACTAGATATATCTTTTTACAAACAAAATGAATAATGAATTATCTTCGGATCAAAAGCAAGTCACTAGCATCTAGCGCACGCTGTCCATTATCACTGAGACCTCGCGAGACCGAGAACTTCACTTTCGAAAAGATGGTAAACAGACCATCTAAAACACGTGGAGAAATCGGCATCGCCACTTAAATCATCCGATACAGACATCGTCCCTCAATCATTACCATCCAACTTCTTACGCAATTTCTGGAGTATATGTAAATGGTTGTTCGTAAACTCTTAAAATATATCTATTATATCTTTTTTTATAATTTTATTCTGGTTATAACATATCATTTAATTGGATGAAAAAAACTGTCATATCAAATTAGCTGTGTTGCCAATGTCACAATGAATTACATATAAATTTTTCCACTTGAACTTACATTTAAGGAATGAAGCTTATTTCAACTTATGTTATACGATATACCATAACTTGGGACAGTTTATGCTTTATAGACCACGAAACATAAGTTGAGATAAGCTTCATTCCTTATAATTTAATTTCATTGTAGACATTGTGACGATTTTTCCTCCAGAAAAAAAGGCTTCAAAATCAGCATAATATTTAAAAGTAACTTCAAGAGAAGTAAAACGTTTTTGACGTAACTTATTGTGACGTAGGCAAGTTATGTAATATTTTGTAAGTAAAGAAAAATATGGTCATAATGTGAAAAATTGAAGTATTTCCCGAGAAATAATCAGAGGCCACTAGCATGAAAGTAGGTTATTGATCTATAGTTATTTGAAATTGAAATTTAACACAAGAATCATAGGTGTACAATAGGTGGTTTTTCGTTCTTATCAGTGAAATTTTTGGTCATCTGAGTAAAGGTATACCTTAAGGACAGATGATACAAACAAACTTTTGTCAAAGAATTTAAAAATAACAAGTTGGGTCATGTTTAAATTTGTAAAATGGATAACTTTCACCGCGTAAATTTTAATTTCTCATTCAAATTTGCACAAAAATGGAAATTGAAGGGAAAAATATTTGTATAGATTAATGAGGAAGGTTTCAGAATGGCATACTTTGTCTATAGCTTCTAATATTAAGAAATTGTATTTAATTTGTGAATTGACTATTTAAATCAAGCATAGACAAATAATTTAATTTGGCTTGTATTCTTGCCTCTCATTGGTTGATTTCCAAAAAGGAACGCATAACATTTTGTATAATCTGGTTTGGTATGGGGACACACCCCCTTGACAACCAGCATAATCATCTGTATCCATCAATCCCCTCATTTCCAGTCCTTGGGATTCATGGAAAATTCCAGATTTAATGAATGTACCTTTAATTTCAAACAGTTACTCGATCTTACCTCATGTAAACAAGCATCATGGCTGCTATATCTATGTATCAGTTTTTACCTCCCCTCGCTTCCCATCACTTCCGTTACTACGGTTGTATTATTGCGCGGTAAATTTGAACTCATAAAAACAACACAATTTTACATCCCCAGTTGAATAATCATTTTAAAATTAAATTATAAGGAATGACTCTAATTCTTGGCCAAATTATCGAGTATAATATGGTTTGGGTCAGTTTACGCTTTTTTATAATCCGCTTCGCGGATTATAAAGCGTAAACTGACCCAAAGCATATTATATTCGATAATTTGGCCAAGAATTAGAGTCATTCCTTAAATAATTTCAGTCTTTGTGAGATTTAAGTAAAAAATAGAGATTTTTTTTTACATTAAGTATACTTTACTATTAAATGTAATATCAAAGAAAATTTGGATATCATTGAGATTTTTTTTTTCGCTTCATGTTTGTTGCATTATAGGCACATCGTCCGCTTTATCCCCCACCTTCTTTTTGGCGATATCATTCTCTACCTAACAGACTTTTTATCAGTTCTATGTGATTGTCCATCAATGGGTAATCTGACATGGTACTCTTGATGTCCTCCTTGAACTGAACTGTCTGTACAATTTCCTCTTTCTTAAAATCAGTTTAGTTTTTACTTTTTTTAACTTTTCATTTTCTATATGTACCTTCAAACTGACTCTCAATCCTTGTTCATTATTTTTCCTAATTCCGGACAGCCTGCGAGTTATGCTTCTGCAGCTTTTTTGGTATCAAACACTTCTTTATTTTCAGTGATCTGCTTTGACACCTTCTCTATCTTTCCATCAATCACAGGCAGATCTTCTTCCTTAACTGTCAAGTCAAATATTTAGATAGACCTCTCCTCCTGTGACTGGCTGCCTTGGGTAGAGTCTTCCATTCGTCGTAACTGTGCCAAAAAAAATCATAAAGATCATAATCTCTATGATTTGTTTTGGCACAGTTACTACAAATAAATTCATCACAGTCATCACAAATCATATCAATAAAGTAAATGATGAGTTTTACCGATTCAGTATGTTTTTCAGGTGATCCCAGTGGAACGTTTGGTTACTGACTGCCACACTTGTTTAATGTTGCCAAAAGTACCTAGATAAGGAGGAAGTTATAAATGTATTCTATACTCAGTGCCATTGAGCAGTGAGAGATCTTTTACGTGCCAGCACCTACTGCAACATGTGACCCCGGTTTAAACGGTGTCATCTGAAGGACCGTTCTCCACATCCCACAGTGGGATTCCAACCCGCGACGTAAGGATCGACTCTAACTTCGCGACTCTAGCAAGAGCAAGCGCTCTAAACACTGCTCCACGCGAACGACATAAAAATTAAACATATCTAAATAAATTTAAAAAGTTTGTCTGATTCATAATGTAATTGAATAATTAAAGAGATTGGTTTCAATCACATGTGTTGATTTGATATGTTTTTTTTTCTCGTTAATTCTAATCGTCAAATTCAAAAATTTAAATCTATTAAGGGCTTTAATTTTTGTTAACCCGATACAGACTTTGTCATTCACAGAGGTACGTTGATTGAAATGTTCCGTAAGGGTTACGAACATTTCAATTTAATAAAAATCAGATCTTTTTTCGGCTAGATCCGTAATCGAAAACTTAATCATTTTTAAAAGTACAGTAGAATACACATTATTTTTTTTCCATCTGTTAACGAAATTCAAAGGATTAATGTCCGTTTTTTTTTATAGATAATTATTACATAATGCTGTCTACAATTGATAATTTTTACTCTTTTTTTTTTACTCTCCTGAATTTGGTACAACTGGCCTGGACGATTGTTTCACTGAAACATTGCGCATGGTTTTTAAGTTGTTTTTTTTGTCCCGACTCTGTAGGCGGAAATATAGAAAAGTGCGGGTTATGTAGAGAAAACCCACACTATTAATGAAGAAATCACAACTAACTATGGTACAATTACGGGAATAAAAATGTATTTTGTAAATTGTGTTTAAATGTTAGATTCTACATCTTTAGTTTAGTTAATATTTGACTAATATATTTCCCCATGGTCCTATTTCCTGGGGCTTTTGTCCCGTTTCGTAAATGACGCAGGTTTTGAGCGGGGCACCAGAATTCCTATGATACAATGTCCAGTCCATTGCGAGACTCAGTGGGAGAGTCTTGGATAAGCAATTACAACTTTCAGAACATGTGAGAGAGAGAATAAGATACGACAGTCCTTACAGACAACTCGGGACCAGCAATGAAGTTATGTGTTTAAATTGATATCAGAGAAAGAAATCAACTCTTTGAAAAGAATTTGAATTTAAAGATTATCCAAACAGCATTGTGAAAGTTTAAAAAATAAAGAATTATGTGTTATTTGTGAATAATAATTCAATTTCATTTGTGAAAATACGTGAGAGAAAATTCTACACCAAAATTCTAATGATCTTAAGCAGATGTGAGGTAATCAATTCGCCATACTTTCAAGGACGGTCTGCAGATAGACATTACATTTCTTATGTTTCTATTGTTTTGATTTGTTTTGTTGTATAAATTTTACTTTTGTTTTGTTTAATAATTTTTAAAAAGTTTTCATTGTTTTGTTTCCATGATTTATTCGGCCACCATCTCAACAGATCATAATACGTACATGTAATAATAATATACATCAAACATTAGATTTATCAACCTTATAGACAAAAACAGTCATGTCAAAAAATTATAAATACAACCCCTCTTACTTTTTCATGTACAGTAATACACGTGCATGTACATAGTATGTACAATATATAATCATTTTACATCTAATGACGTCACCTGTGTGGCGCAGTGGTTAGAACGTCAGCTCTAGAGTCGCGAAGAAAGGAGTTAATCCTTACGTCGCGGGTTCGTATCCCACTGTAAGATGTAGAGACCTGTCCTTCTGATGAGACCATATAAACCGAGGTCCCGTGTCGCAGTTGGGTGAGGGCTCGAAAAAGATCTGTAACTGCTCAATGGACCTAAAAGTCGAGCATAGGTCAAATGCAGCTCTCTATCGGCAAGTGATGGCGTCTCCATATGAGTGAATAAATCTCGATAAGAACGTTAAACAACAAGCAAACAAAACATCAAATGACTAATGACTAATTGAAACTAATTGAAATATAATTTTAAAAAATAAGAATGTGAGACAGGAAGACTAGTAAAACTAGTAAGATAGCCGTCTTTATTTAAAAAACCAAACATTTATGCAATATACATGTACATATATTAAAGTTTACACTCGGCACTGAAACACAATGGCAAGCTCTTTATAATTCCAAACCACAGTATAGTCTACTACAGTGAAAATCTTACTAGAAGGTTCCCTTCATTCCCGGTCCGTAAAAACTTTAAAAACTCCCCGTCAAGACAGCAGATGAATTTGGTTGTCAAACACGTCTGTAACAATGACGTTAGAGAAAGTCAGACACTACGACATCTGGACTAAAGCTCATTGTCATTTACTACGTTCTGTACTTAAACACTTTAACAACACCTTCCCTATATCCCACCCACAGCGAAGACATGTTTATTGATAATCTGGTTGGATGGTGCACTTCATCTTTGTTCAGTAAGAACTTCAAAAATTCACCATCAGGACTCAGTAGATGGATCTGTATATTGTTCATGTCAGTAACAAGGATGTTACAGAAGGAGTCACACACTACATTACCTGGCCGAAAGGCCTCTGCCAAGTTTTGTCCACGGTAGACAGTCTTCATATGACCAGAAATGGACACAATCACTAATTCACCTTCATTGGGATTAGTGCGGTTCACCACACATATATCACTGTTACTGTTCTGTGTGACTCTGTATGGCAATGTAAACAGTCTGGTGTGACCGTCCTCCTGGTATTCATACTCATGGATGACATCACCAGTCACTGTGATGTGTCTCACCAGACGTCTGCTGTGTGAATTTAATTTGTAAGGATCTGATTCCTTCTTTCCCAATATGACCAGTAATCCACCGTCCACTGACTGACAGATTCCTATTGGTTTTAGTGGATCTGTACTGATGATTGTAGAGACATATCCTGCTGGAGACAGATAGCTGATGGAATTGTTACTGAAGTCGGCAAAATAAACATCATCAGTATCAGTCACACACATGTCATTTGTAGGGGTATAATATTTATGTTTTTTCTCTCCTTCGTTATTTACTTGTTCAATGTAAGGTGACTCAAATTGTTTTATGTAACACTGATCTTCACATAATGCCCTCAACAAAACTACTGCTTTCTCTCCATAATTGAATGAACTTGTTTCAGTCAAACTGATATCATCAAAATTAAATGACTTTCCAATTAAGTTCTCTAGTACCTCATCACTGACTTCTCCTTTACTGTATCTCACTGAATGTTTACAGTCCTTCATATCATCATCCAGGCCAGAAAGCAGCTGTATCAGTTCTCTGTGGTTGTCAATGAAGCCGTAATCTGACATTCTGCTGTTATTTTCCTCCATGAACTGAACTATTTCTGCAATTTCCTTCTTCTTTTTGTTTAACTCAGATTTTTTTAACTTCTAACTTTTCATTGCTTTTCGTTAAACTTTCTCTAATTTGTTTTTCATTATGTTCCTTCATATTTGTCAACCTGGCCTTTATCTCATCATAGTGCCTTTGAAGCTTTTTAATCTCAGCATCGCAGATTACTTTATTTTCTTTGGTCTGTTGTGACATCTTCACTAGTTTCACATCAATCCCAGGCAATTCTTCTTCCTGAATCTTCCTCAGAAATGTAAGTAAACCTCTTCTCCTTTGGCTGGCTGCCGTGGGTATAGTGCTCCATTCGTGATCTCTGTGATCTGTTTTGGCACACTTACCACAAATAAATTCATCACAGTCCTCACAAATAACATCAATAGGTAATTCATGAGTTTCACACATTTTAATATGTTCTTGAGGTGAGCCCAGTGGATATTTTTGTTTACTGTCTGCCATTTTTGTTGAATGTTGCCTACCTGATATAGCCTGGAAACAATAGCTGTGCACTATTAAGCACATTGGACTTTAAACTAATTTTCAAATTGATGACATGCAATGGTAAGACAGCTTGAAGGTGGATACTATCAAATTATCATCAAAAGACAAGGTAGCTTTAAATTGCCAGAACAATAAAACCAGGAAGAACATTAACCACCTTCTCGCAGTCACACATTTTAACGCATTTTAATTTCCTATTTCTAACGCAAAATCACGCATATACCGTTTCCACGCAATCACACATTTTTTGAGCACTTGCAAAAGTAATTAAATCTTTAATTCAATGTCAATTCCATTATTTCTTTTTTAAGCTTGCTAAAATCTCATAAAATAAGAAAAGTAATAATCTTTTTAAAATATTACGTCATAATTATTTACGCTAAATTTGAAGGGAGACATGTACATCGCTATAAAGGGCTTGCAGGGAAAAGTACCGTCATATTTCTATGATGTATACATTAAGTGTATGTTGTGTCACAGTTCAGTTAGTTGTAAAGAGTTAATATTTACATTCAGTGTAATTTTCCTTATGAAATCCATTAGAAATCCACGACGTTCAAATTTCTATAACACACGCGAAACCTTGTCACTGCGCGTACGAACACACAGTAGGAACTTGATACATTTTCAATACTCTAGGAACACCAACATGAAAAATGTTTTAATTCAATTTAATGAAAAACTATAACCTTTAAAAATTAACGTAAAAATTCACGTAATGTACGTTAAGAATTAATTTGTCACTTTTTCCCTCGCAATGTTTGCTTGCGTAATTTAACTTTGCAACGTCATTTAACGTAAGTTGACGTCGCAAACGGCTCTTACATCTATCAACAACGGCAGTTTTAAAAGGCGTTAAATTCACATTAAAGATTAACGAAATAAGCAATTATGAAGAAGGAAAATTAGAGAATGTAAATATAAGCATAGAATACATATTTTTAACGCGCGGTATTCAATTTGTCGGCACGGCCAGGTGTGTTATAGGACCGAAGACATCCCAAAATATGAATTCAATGCTTAAATATGCACTGCATAAACATCAAATAGATCACAGCGACAAAAATCATTTAATGGATAAACATATGTCACAGGGTGAATAAATTAATATTATAATAAATACTATATAATCTATGTATTAATGATTTGTGACCTTATATACTAATCATTTCATTACCATCATCATCATCATCATTTTTACCTATACAGTATAGTAAATAACAGTCCTCTGGAATTTACTACGTGTTAAGCAAGTTTAGTTCATTCATGAAGTCGCTCATTCATATTCATGGGGTTGAATGCATATTGGTTGGTTTGGGAGTGTGAAAGGTCAAAGGTGTTTGTGTCAGAATGGGTGCTGATTGAAGGTGTATGATTGGTTGATATTTTAGTGAGAGAAGTGTGTGAGTGGTATTACTAGTCTGGCGCCAAATACGCATGCTTGGCGCCAAACACCCGTAATAATTCACTCCACTCTAAGACAGTCAGGAGGAAGGATGATTTTATATCCTTATCCGTAAAGTATATTCATTAATAATGAAGACAAATTAATACCTGTCTAGTCGGCAAGAATTAATTTACCACCGTTGCTCTGAATATATTATATAGTAATTAATTATCTAATTAAAGAGAATAATATTGAAACAGTTAAAATATTCTGAAATAATTAAATGTGTGAGTGTTAGTGTATGAGTGTATTCATTTATTTTACAGGTCACCTTGTTCTTACTAATTATTCTTGTTATATTCATCATCAAAAGTAATTGAAATAGAAATACAAAAGAACCCGCAAGCCGTGTTATTTAAGAAATAAGGTATCATTTTTTGAGTTTTATTGAGATGTAAAACGGGTTGGTCACGTGATCAAATCCCATAAAGCCCGAAGGGCTTTATGGAAGATTTGATCATGTGCCAACCCGTTTTACATCTCAATAAAACTCAAAAAATGAGACCTTATTACTTATATCTACATTTGTGACTTATTCATACTTTATATTTGCCTGATTGTTACTTTTAACGTGTGAAATGCGTTAATTTTTCAAACCCAACGGCATGTATGTAATTCACTAAACGCGCGTCGACCCTTTATGACGTCACAGAGAAATTACGTCGAACGTTTATCCAAACGCACATCTATGACCTCTTGACCCCATACCTGTATTTGCACAGTTATAAAAACGCTTGCCTTCAGTAGTGTTATATAAAGGAAAACATTTGCAAATGTAAATATTGTTGTTTATTCAAGTCATGGAGTAGATATATCTCGGCTGTGACACATACGCATGTAGTTCCTTTTTTAATCAATATTTAGAACAATATAATGTACGTGGGCGCGCTATTTCAATGAAACCGATTAAACTCTCCGGATAAAAACTTTACCTATTTTCCAATAAATATAGGAAGATTTGGTATTTTCCGGTGGTCCTTAAAAAATATACAGCTATTTTATTTTGATGAAACATGCTTCACGGAGCATGCTTCGTTTTCGCACGTTTACATTACAATGATGTTTTATTGATATTAAAAGTTGCACAGTTTGAGCGCAAAAAGATTAATGATATTTTACCTGTCGATACAGTATTCATGAAACGTCACTTGGCAAAATTTTGAAATTGGAGAGTATATGGCTGTTTTATAGCGATTTATAAATAATAAATGCGTAAAAAGAAAGCCAATAATGTGAGCGTCATTGAACGTCCTGGAGCACCGAGCTACTAAAAATTATGTGTGCAGACAGGAAAACGTCTAAAAACAGACTAAAATTCTTCTAGATGCTGCTGAAATTTGCTTACATGTACAAAATACATAGGTATTCAAAAAGTGGTAGTTTTATAAGGGTTAACATTTTCAATGATAAACTCCTGCGATATCTCAATACCCCACTTATCGCATGGACATTGCGCCTATGGATTTTTGCATTGTTTTCATACGTGATCGCTGACCAGTGCTGACATATATTTTAAGATCTCACTAATATCCTAATCAGCACAAAATACATTGTAAAAGAAATGTAACATGTTTTGATATGGATATACAAATTTTATGTTAAAAAAAGAAAAAAAGGCTAAAGATTGAAAGATATTTAGAACTATGAAAAACTTAACGGGTTTGAAATCTGATTATCACGTCACTTAACGTCAAGTGATTGCTCCGTGAATCCTATAACTGTATAGTAAAAATCTTTGTGAATTTTCAAAATTTTAATAAATGGACCTGATTTTTTACATACTAATAAACAAAACATAGGAATTACAAATGTGTCTGCGAACTTTTCAAACAACCCTCGTACATGTACATTAGTCAACCAAAAGAATGAAATTACAAACCATATCTGTATTAATTCAATAGATCTACTTCAAACGGTCTAAAACAAATCTGCAGACGTTCCAACACAAATTCAAACAATTAAGATTTGTTTATAATAATAAAAGTATGCATATATATTATTGATGCAAAATACTAATCTAAAAAAGCACCAGATAAAACCTATTGGTACCATTATTTATTACATTTGTAACATTAAAACATTGTGATTTATGTGTTAAATAAAAATGATATTCTGTCAGATTGTGAAAGGATACCAAAGTGAAATTCTGTCACAAAGTGAAAGGAGGTCAATATCTGGCTAGTCATAAGATAGACATAGTGACTAAATCTTCCTGAAAACACTACAACTGCCAATTTATCCCCCAATTTATTGCTAAAATCCACATTACATTGTTTTTTAATACGTCACAGCCTATGATACTGTGTTAAGAAAAAACAGAGGCAATGTAAATTCAAAGAAAATGTAATAAAACAGAAAAATCAACGTTTTGTAATTGAATATTTATTTTACCGTGCAGTGAGTTTTCTTCGTTGATGTAAAATTTGGCGTTTTGTTAGGCTAATGGTATGCCAATAATTTTGACGTAATTTTTTTAGCAGACACAAAGTTCCACCTCTTTGTAAAAGAACAATAGGAAGAAAACAGAATATTTTAGCGATTCAAATTTTTGCAGGCTTTTACCAAAATTACCACCCAGCTTAATGAATCGCTATACGACATTTCACTCGATCGTGAGAGGGGTAAAATATCTAAAAATCCCAGTTGTATCAATGTAATAATATATTTAAGGGATTCAAATATCTAATACATTCATACATTATATATATTTTTTAACCTTTTCAACAAAACAGTTATGTTAAAATGATAAGTACAATATTTATTATTACTACTTTTAGGTAATTGAAATTTGATATAAAACAAAAAAATAAATACTAGTATTCTACACTTCATGTTCTTACTGAACATGATCAACACATCTGTCTTTATTTCCAATAATACATAAATTTAAACTTTTCACTGAAACAAGTGACAAGCCCTTTATTGTATCCTTACCACAGTCTAAATTAGTACGTGAAAAAGGAAGGTTCACCTTCATTTTCGGTCAGTAAAAACTTCAAGAAATCTCCGTCAGGGCTCAGCAGGTGGATCTGGTTGATAAATGAGTCTGTAATGAGGATGTTGGAGAGAGTCACACACTAAGATATCTGGTCCAAAGCTCAAATATATACACTGTATTTTACGTTCAGTACTGAAACACTTTGACAAGTCCTTCTATATATCCCACCCACAATGTAGACTTGCATAGTGATAATCTAGTTGGATGGTACACTTCATTGTCTGTCAGTAAGAACTTCAAAAATTCACCACTAGGACTCAGCAGATGGATCTGTATATTGTTCATGTCAATAACAAGGATGTTACAGAGGGAGTCACATACTACATCAGCTGGCCAAAAGGCCTTTGGCAGGTTCTGTCCTTGGTAGAAACACTTCAAACGACCAGAAGGAGAGATAATCACTAGATGGCCAGTTTTGAGACTCGTACTGTTCATAACACAGATAGTACTATAACTGTTCTGTGTGATTCTAAATGGTACTGTAAACAGTCTAGTCTGACCGTCCTCCTGGTACTCATACTCATGGATGACATCACCTGTCATTGTGATGTGTCTCACCAGACGTCTGCTGTGTGAGTCTAATTCGTAATCTTCTGATTCCTCATCCATCATGGTGACCAGTAGTCCACCGTCCACTGACTGACAGATTCCTCCTGGTACCAGTGGATCTGTACTGATGATTTTAGACACAGATCCTGATGGTGACAGACAGCTGATAGAACTGTTACTAGAATCAGTGAAATAAACTTCACCAGTATCGGTCACACACACGTCATTAGCAGTGATATCATATTTATGTTTTCTCTCGCCTTTTTCATTTACTAGTTCAATCTGACATTATTTGTTTAATGTAACATTTATCTTCACATAACGCCCTCAACAAAGATACTGCTTTCTCAAATGAGCTTGTTTCAGTCAAACTGATGTCATCTAAATCAAAAGATTTTCCAACTAATTTCTCCAGTTCCTCTTCACTTATGTCTCCTTTACTATATCTCATTGACGGTGTATTACACTTAATATCAACATCCAGGCCAGAAAGCATTTTTGTCAGTTCTCTGTGGTTGTCAATGAAACCGTAATCTGACATGGTGCTGTTGTTTTCCTCCATGAACTGAACTATTTCTGCAATTTCTTTCTTCTTCCTGTTTATCTCAGAATTAGCAACATCCAACTTTTCATTCCGTTCTTTCAAATTGTCTCTCAATTTTTGTTCATTTTTTTCTCTGATTTCTGACATTCTGGTTATTATCTCATCATAATGATTCTGGAGCTTTTTAATATCAGCTTCACACAGTTCTTTATTTTTTGTGAGCTGTTGTGGAATCTTCCTTAATTTCTCATCAATCCCTGGCAGATCTTCTTCCTTGATCTTCTTCAGAAATGAAAGTAAATCTCTCCTCCTTTGGGTAGCTGCCGTGGGTAGAGTGTTCCAATCATGTTCCTTATGATCTGTCTTGGCACACTTGGCACAAATAAATTCATCACAGTCCTCACATAACATATCAATAGGTAAATCATGGGTTTTACACATTTCAATATGCTCTTGAGGAGAACCCAGTGGATATTTAGGTTTACTGGCAGCCATATTTGCTGAGTAATTGTTGCCTACCAAAAACCGGTAGTCATGTACTATCAAGAACAATGGACTTTAAATTCCAAACAGACAAGTCATGCAATGATAAGACAGCTTGAAAGTCCACACTATCAAATATCGATCATCAAAACAAAGTTTTTAAAAAAAAAACTGAAAGAAAATCAATACATTGTAGTAGTCTCAGTCAATTCACAGGGACATAAATCATTAATATGTAAAGATGCACCTGTAGGACTCTCATAAGGACATACGCAACGTACCTTATCTTCTGATAATTTTTAAAGATATTCTAAATATAAATTTTTAGCACCATTACATGTTTTCATGTTTTTCGACAAAAAATCAGCATGTGTTAACAGGGGTTATGAACATACAGAATATCAAATGAGAATTTTTTTTTTGCATTATTCAAAGAAAAATGTACAAAAATTACAAAACATAAATTCCAGATATTTTTTTATCCAGACTTGCTTTCAAAGAGGTGTACAAAACCATTCATTTTTTTTAGACATTAAAAGTATTACACACAGGTCATTCATGTAGTGGAACTCCTCAACTCTAGGGAAGAAGGCAATCAAGTTCGAACTACTTAAAAAAATTCTTTAACAAGTATATTACTATTTATTTATTCATTTTTTAATGTAACCCCCATTTACTGTAAATCACTTTTTATTCGTGAGAACTTTATTTTCGCGTAATTACGCGAACCGGTATGCTCACAAAAATTTGATTCTCGCGTATAATAGAATTCCTTAAGATTATATAGAGCAATGACCACAATTCGTGAAAATTTTGTCTCGCTTATAAAGAGTCAATGACTATCTCGCGAAAATAAGCTAGGTGTCGCGAAAATTTAGTGATGTACAGTATTAAATAACCATTTTGGAATTTTCTCAATACTCAGCTGTATATCATGTTGCTGAAAATGAAATAAAAAATTAAGATATCCTGCATACAAAATATATGAAAGAAATAAAAATAAATATATTTTACATGTAACTATGCTGCAATTTTCCTAAAAAATTTTCTTTGTTTTCATGTATCCCTTTATTGAGAATGCATTTAAAGCACCAAAAAGCTAAGTAGTTGCACATGAGTATTGGTGGATGAAAGAAAATACTGAATCTGGATTAAAATGGTGTGACAAAATTTTGTCAAAATGATCATAGACATATTCCTTCAATTCAACATTTCAAATATTTATATGATTACAATGAAATCACAATCACCATTATAATGTATTTACAGTCAAACATGAGGAATGTGGCAGATAACATAGTGATATCACAAAAATAAAACAAAACAAGAGGCCCACGGGCCTTATAGGTCACTTGAGTATTGTGCAACAACTTTCAAACAATTAAATTTGGTTTTAAACCAGAGGCCATGAAATTCGCAATTCACAATTTTGAAAGAGGCACCATTGCTTATCATAATTAAAGACTTAGCATGCTTACTCTATTTGCGTAATATCCAGAGGAAGATCAGAGTAACATAAGAGAAAATGCACTTCCACTTTATAACCAGTTGTGCACCTCATCCCAAAGGAACCACTAAACCTGGGGCCACATATTTCAAAATTGTGCAAATTTTATCATAAAATGGTTGATTAATACCAAAGAGCAGATTTCAAAGCATTAATTTATTTTCAGACTTTGTACCCTTCCCCACCCCCCTCACCCCCGACCAAGGGGGGGGGGGGGCATAAAAAACATTTTGCTAGATGCACCTTTCTTCAGCATAAATATATATACTTGGATCATTGGCATAAAACCCAGGAGCAAAGGAAAGATTTTCAAAGAATAAATGCATTTTCACTATATAACCAATAGAGCCCCGCCCTAACACCAGAACCCCTGATCCTGGGGTCATAAAATTCACAATTTTGGAAGAGGCACTCTTGCTCATCATAACTATGTGCTTGGGTAGTTTATTTAATACCCAGGAGCAGAGAAGAAGATTTTCAAAGAATTAATGCATTTTCACTATATAATCAATAGGGCCCCACCCTAACACCAGAACCCCTGACCCTGGGGCCACAAAATTCACAATTCTGAAAAAGGCACTCTTGATCAACATAACTATGTACTTAGTTAGTTTATTTAATACCCAGAAGTAGAGAAGAAGATTTTCAAAGAATAAATGCATTTTCACTATATAACCAATAGAGCCCTGCCCTAACACCAGAACCCCTGACCCTGGGGTCATAAAATTCACAATTTCGGTAGAGGCACTCTTGCTTATCATAACTATGTGCTTGGTTAGTCTATTTAATACCCAGGAGCAGAGAAGAAGATTTTCAAAGAATTAATGCATTTTCACTATATAATCTATATAGCCCCGCCCTAGCACTAGAACCCCTGACCCTGGGGCCATGAATGTCAAAATTTTGGTAGAGGACTCAATGCTCATTACATTCATGCCAACAGTTTGCCTGCTTGATGTCCAGGAGTAAAGAAGAAGATTTTTAAAGATTGCAATAATTTTAGTGGTTTTGGCCCTACCCCTCAGGCCCCAGGGGGGCGGGGACCATAAAATTCACAATTTTTGTTCCCCTTCACCCATAGATGCTGTATACCAAATTTGGTTGAAATTGGTTCAGTGGTTTCAGAGAAGAAGCTGAAAATGTTCAAATGTTAACACACGACACACGACAACGGACGAAAACGGATAGCAATAGGTCACCTGAGTAACTCAGGTGACCTAAAAAGAATAAAACATACATGAAGCATTAATTAGCTTTTCAACAATTCTCATTAATCAGTGGGAATTATGCACTTTATAATGTAAAACTTGTCAATAAAGAATATTCTAGAATGCAAATTTGTAGTAACCGGTAACCTGAGTTAAATTAGGTTCCTGATAATCTTAATAAATAAGATTAAAATCTATGACTTTCTTTTGCTTACATTATTTAATTAGTTCTGAAATATAGAGAAAAATCTTCAATATATAACAACAAAGACTCAATTGAAATCTCTGTATATATGAAAAGATTTTTAAAAAATCACATACACTTAAAAATTTGTTTTTCAAAATTTTAAATTTGCTTTGTCAAAGTTTGGCTCCTTTAAAAAAAAATTCTCCAAAGACAACTTGGAAATTTTAATCAAGACATTCTATTTGTTAATTTCTTTTTTAAAAAGTTTCCCTATATTTATTATGTAAACATGTATAATTCCCCATCTGGTAAAAATCTGCTTCACATCTTAAGCCTTTTATGTGTACATGGTGTAACTGCTGAAATATCTACGAAAATTAATGCCAATAATATTTTGATACCTTTAAATGTCACAATATTTTGAATTTATATGTACATGTATTTTTAAAAATGTGTCATGCTTTCATGCAATCACAAGTAGTGCAAAATAAAAGAGATATTATTGAGAATTATTAAAATAACTCTTATTAAACCATCTTATTTCTACGTGTAGGTAACAAAATACAAACTACAGACATTGTCAATTCAAGTGTATTTACCGTATATACTCGCCTATAAGTCGGATTTTTGGGAGTTAATTTCTGGTCCAAAACTCTATGTTCGACTTATAGGCGAGCTATGAAATGAATGGTATTATATGAGGTCAGTCCTATGATATATAAGCTTATAAAATACAACCGACTTATAGGCGAGTATATACGGTATTATTATCATAATGAAAAAATACCTTATATACCAATCTAATTTACCTTAATCTTGCACGAAATTTATTTCTACTTTAGTATTAGTCATTGAAAACTAAATAGGCTAGCTTACTAGTACATGTAAATTGCTTTTAAATATATTGCACAAGATAAGAGTATTACTTAATGCTTATATAGAAATGCATTGGCCATTAAAATTAAAATAAATTTTACATGACTTTGTTATCAAGCAATAAATTATAACATATAATATGGAATTTTTATTTGTAAATTAGCATACTTAAATGTATTCTCATGTAGCCAGATGGAAAACCAAAGAGAAGTAAATTTCGTTGTGAATCTTACAACTTCGTTGGCCAAGTACGTCGAATTACATGGAAAATTACACATTTAAATTCCCTAGAAATTTAGTTCCTATATAGAACTAATCAAATAAAATTCTACAATAAATTTTGTTCAATGTTTAGCCTATAAAGGGACTGTCAAAAAATATCCCATTCATTTAACAAATTTTAATTTGTATTCAAAAGTGTGAAATAACATGCATTAATTAATTAATTCAAATCATCTGTTAATTTTTAGTATCACAGACTGCACAAAAAAAAGCAATTAAATAAAAAAAAAATTAGGTAAAATCCTGATATGACCGTACATGTTTACATGGATTCATAAATGCCACTATACTAAAGGTGTTTCAACTAATAAAGCAGTGCCCTAATTTCATAAGAATATAAACTGTGTGACGCACTCCCTGTCTCCTATCTTGGCCTGTAGCTCCTGTTCAATGGCGTCAATAATTCTCCGCATTTTTCTCGTAGTGGTATTCGGCGTTATAATTTTTATTTTTGGAATTTGACTGATTTTCTCAGACTCCTTACTCAAGGCAGCTTTCTCTTCCTCTAAGTCATCTTTAACCAGCTGCTCATCCTCAGAATTTACATTTTGTTCAGAGTTAACATTTTCTTCTAGTGGAAGGTCTGCATTTAAGATATTGTGGGTCTCTAAAATTCCGCAGGAAGCTAGAACCATGTCGTCAAAATCTCGCGAACTTCTGTCCTTAATGTCAATCTCGCTGTCGTCTCGGCTTCCGTGCGAGTTGAGTCTAGACCGACGTCCAGAGTTGTCACTCCTGTTTTTATGTTCCACTTTATCCTCAGCCTTCCCAGCATCCTCCTGGGTGTCCGTTTTTGTGTCTAATTTTGGCAGATTAAATTTTGGGAGCTTTATCCCAGAACTGAGATTTTTTGTGATGTTTGCGAAGTTCGGGAAGAGATTCTTCCTTTGCTGACTAGGACTGCTGACCGGTGATGACATCACAGGACTAGCTGACCTTGGACTATTTCTTG